TCATTCTTTGCCTGGGTTCTGATCGCCTCCCTCATCCCTTCACTGTGCTGGACTGAACTCACCAAAACACATAGGGTAGAACCGATCTGGGCTTGTGGCCAGCTTAACTGAGGAGACTTGGGCTGACATGAAAGTCGGTCTGTTTGTTTAGGTGTGACTCTTAGTGCTGACCAGGCAGATGCCTACCTGACTGTTTCATATTTGAAAGTGACATTAAGTTTCACAGGGACTCTGACTCTGTCCATCCATCTTGGTAACATGTGTGCATGCAACACCGCCCCCATCATTTCTGTATCTTTTTCTTTCTGTCTCCCTCCTTCTACCAACTTTCTAGTGTCATTGAACTTTCTACTCTCATTAAATATTTTGAACTGTAGTGCCCATTTGCAGTGTGTGATGTTTTATGTCTTTTTTTCAGAAATTCAGTGCCTAACAGTTTTTATATGAGATCTTAGTAAACAAAGAATATGTGTGTGTGTGTGTGTGTGTGTGAGAGTGTGTGAGGGGGGTGGGAAGCCTGCCACATTTCCTCCCTGCCCCACAGAAAATGTATTTTCTGGAAGCCCTTTTGACACTGAAGTGGAGGCCCACTGGCCCTCCTGAGAGGCCTTTATGCTTGTTGTCATATCTTTTGTTTCTGCTGATTATACACATGGTAAGTTGTAAATAGCTCTCACACACACCATGGTTCCTTTGAGGTAAGTGCAGGAGCACAGAGAGGCACTCAGCTTCAGCTCACCCCAGGGATTCCACAAGGTCCCTCATAAGGCCTCTCACTTCCTGTTCCAAGCACCAGCAGAGGGAAATTCATCAGTCTGGACAGTTACCATCCTGTCTTTAAACCTGTGGCATACATTTAGAAAATATTAGCTGATCAGTTCTCTTATTTTTCTTTGTTTTTAATTTGAATTTTATATTACTCTAAAAGAAAAAATATACAAAGATGCCAGGAGAGTAAGAGTTAAAAGTCTCCACAGTCTTAATCACTGTGAACATTTTGTGAAAATCATTGTTAGGGAGCTTTATCTTAGCACTAACTGCTAAAAATGAAGGAAAGTGGATAAAGTTAAATCCCCTCAATCAGTTTAAAATTTGTCTTCCAAACAGTGGTTAGGTACATATCCTATTTTATTATCTTAATTTACAGTGGATTAATAGAGATAATTCTTTCTGCTGTTGTTTCTTTCAGTCATGTTTTGATTGCTTACAGGTAGCTGGCTATCTTCTGAGGTTTCTAAATTGAAATGCAGAATAAGGTATGCCAGATTACAAGGTTACCTACTTTTATATCTCTAGTATTTTCCTTGGTATGTTTTTATGAAATAAGCAATATGGTTGCCTTCCCTTTTAAAAAAATTTACTATCTAATACTTGTTGACACTGGTTATGATGGGAATGCTGGGTATTATTAGATCATAATCTCTTTGTAAACTATGCAGTTTTGGCTTGAATTTCAGTTTCCTCGTCTTAAAAATAGGGGAGTCCACTCTCCTGGATGCTTATGGATTTTTCTCTGCTCAGAAATTGTAGGATTCTAAATTCGAAAGTGCCACCTACTTCCCTCCTAGTTCCTTTCTGTGATCGGGATTGTTGAAACATACTGGCAGCTTGGCACCATTCACTCCCCAGAGTATTCAGAGACTTTTGTGTTTTCTCTCAGAAGCTGTATTTCTAAGTGTCTGAGGTTATAACGGAATATAATTATAGTTGTTTAACTTTCTCCTTTCCTTTTGAGAGTGTTTATAAAGTGCATTCGGTGACTGTGAGGATAAAAAGGAACTAGAAACTTAGTATTTGTGACATGGTCAGATAATATTAAGGTAAGTAACATTTTCTTTTGTATTTGTAAAATAAGGCATTGTTTACACACAATTTGCAATATACGCATTCTGGCTTATAGAATCTGCTTCAGTCATTTTGATAGTCACATTTGTTGAAGGAAGCCTTTTTGTGAGTTTCACTTTGATATGGAATGTTCTGATTGACTTTTTGGCTTTCCTTCTGTTGCCCCTAGGGAGAGTCACTGCCCAGAACTCATTAGTGCCCCTGCCTGTGTCAGCTGAGGGGTAGAATCAGCTGTTTCCTTGTGTGACACAACACAGTTCCTAATGTCTCTGCTCTTCTCTCTACCTGATTTCTTCCTCATTCCTCAATTTAGAGGGTAAAGTTTTTTTACATTGCTCACGTTGTCCTAGATCAGTGATGGGGCGGGTCTTTTAGAGACCGAGTGCCCAAACTGCAACCCCAAACCCATGTATTTATTGCAAAGTGCCAACACTGCAATTACACCTGAGTACTGAGGTTTTAGTTTAGATAAAACAGCTGATACATTAACATCTTTTGTCTTAAAAGAAAAACACAAGAGCATGTGTGCCGTAGATCTGGCACCGCTGTCCTAGATTAAAGAACAAGGAGGTCTTGATTTTTGTTAACATTTGCTTCATTTCCTCTGTTGTCTTCTTTGTAATGTCTTCCATATGAAAAATCAGTAAATGCTCCTAGCATGGGTTCTTCTAAATGTGGTTATTACATTTATTTTTACCACTTTTTTGTTTTCAGTCTTTCTCATTTCTTAAGTTTGAGTATGGGTGTGCAACTTAATAGCATGTGACTCTTGAGTTACTTATCTATTATAAAATTAAGTTTTTGCATGTAAAATGGAAATGCACATATCTTACAGGATTGCTGATGGGAAAAGTCTAGATGTAAGTTGCCCACCTGGGGACTGTGTTGGCACATGGACCTCCACTGGTGAAATTCAAGGGCTAGAGTCAATCCTTACCTCTAAAGAGAGAGGATGCTCTGTTTGTTTCACCTTGTAAGTGTTGGCAGGAAAAAAGAATGAGAGATTTAAAAAGAAGAGCATTGGGTCAAAAAATGATTGAAACATGAACTGAATGCCTTTTTATTGGTGATACTCACCAGTGCAAAATGAAATTGTTTGAAAATTGTTTTAAGTAGTCAACTAATTTGTGAATTAAAAGAAAAAGAGAAACACCTAAGGCAGCATACTTGGTTGGAAATTGATCTCTGGATACAGAAAATTGATTAGCACAGATCATCTTAATTGGAATTTTAAAAATATCAAACAAAACACCAAAGGAGTGCTTTGATAGGAAGGAAGACACAGTTGAGATAACTCTTAGTTGATATAATAAGACTTAAGTACATATAGGTAGATACATGATTATTAAAGATTGCACGTGTTTGCAAGTAATGAGTAGCAATTAAAGAAACCATTCATTCATTCATTCATTCGCAGTGCTGGAAATAGTGCATGCTAGGCAAATGCTTTACCACTGGGCTACATCCCCAGTTCCTATAGAAAATTTTTTTTCCATTTAGTTTATTGATACATTTTAGGTATACAATACAATTACATTCATCATTGGGATGTACCTTTACATGATGTATCTTGGTTCTTATTTTTTTCCCCATTCCCCTGCCCTCCCTTCACCCTCTCCTATTTACAAAGACTTTGTTTCCATTTTTTTCTTTTCTCATATTTTTTTTCTTTTCTCTTCTTTCCTTTCCCCTACCCCTCCCACTTCCCCTATTCCTTTAGACCTTTTCTTCCCATTTCACAATATCAGTTATACATTTTGATTCTTATTTATACTTTTAGTTTTTCACACCAGAGAAACTATTTGGTATTTACACATGTGGCTATAGAAATTTTTTAAAAGCAGAAAATAGGTATAGATTAAATTTAAATCCTTTTTTCTTAAAATCTAAAATAAGTGACAGGCAATATTTAGGGAAAATATTGACTAATTATAATAGATAATATAATTTTAAGGGAATCTTTATGGCTTTCATTGTAGAATTCTAGATATAGAGAAACATCCATGAAATTATAACTTTTATTGTTCTCATTTTTATTAGAATATACTTATAAGCCAGGGTTCTTAAAGATAGTAAGCATGTATAAGAAGTGAATGAAAAATACAATTAATGTTTAATTATGTAAGAAACTTACTACAGTAAAACATAAATTACCAAGAATGAGGAATAAGTATGTTCAAAGTGAGGGGGAGTATTTTGATTGTTTTGAGGAGTGTCAGTGGCATTGTATCTTTTACTGTAATCTTTAAACATTCATGATATTTTTGATCATCCTTTTTGATCAAATGTTTATGGCCATTTCTATCAAATAAAAACATCATGGATGTGTGTCTTCATCCACCTTATTCATTGGATCTGGTGCCATGAGACTTCTGGCTCTTCCCAAAGTCAAAATGACCATGAAAGGTAAATGTTTTGAATTGATTCAGGACATCAAGGTATACAGGACAGGGCAACTAAAGACATGAAGGAGAACTTCTAGAACTGTAGGATAAGTATGTTTGAAATAAGGAGAAGTATCTTGAGGACAGTTAATGGCAGCATGTCTTTCATGGTAATAAAGTAAAAAATATTTTAAATATTCATTGTATTACAATTTTTTAAAATTCATTGTATTTTTTGACCACAGCTTGTAAATAAATAATGAATGTTGATACCTATAAGCCTTCCTGTGTGAGCCTATACCAAGAATGGGAAAAATAAATTTAAACAGGTATTTTGAAAGTAGAAAAGAACTTTAAGCATCATTGAATAAAATTTACTTAATTATTACAGAAGATAATTAAAGAACAAAGGGATAAGAATATGCTAATGTCCAGTGGAGATTCTGTTTCAGTCTTTTTCCCTTCCCCCATTTCCTTTGTTTCTAACTTCCTTTCTCCTTCCTGTCCATAGATATATATTAAATGCCTACTTTGTGTTACATGCAGTAAATACAAGAGGAAACAAAAATCCACGTAGGTCTTCTTGGAATTTACCTTATAGTGAAAAGCAGGTTTTCTGATGTGTATAATGTACTTGATATAGCAACTGTTGGATGCACCTCAGGCTGTGATGGCTGTGTCAGATTGCAGTGGAGGTGCCTAGCTTCCGTCTGGGACTTGTTCGAGTGTGCAGCCTCTGTGCCCGCGTCTAACCCAGCCGTATTCCCCCAGGTCCCACTGGCATGTGCCGGCAGAGTGCTGGGTGCAGACTTCTGCCCAGACCTGGAGGAGCCAGACCAGAGGTTGGAAGTCCAGGTTGGAGTTTTACGTTTTATCAGCTGGGGGTGGTGTGACAAATGGTGGTTCACGAAGGCCATTCGAGTGTTACCAGCGCTGTTAGGGCACGGTAACCATGGAGTTTGGGTGGCACATATGTGTCACAAAAGGCTCTCTTAAGGATGAGTTTGTGTACCTGGTGATGATTTATTTATTCATTCAAGAAATATACTTTGGTAATATAGTAGTAGAGCATTTGCGTAGCATGTGTGAGGCTCTGGGGTTCCACCCCAGTACCACAGTGCTGGTGCTGTAATTTGTAGTAGAAAGTAAGATGATCTTTGTAGGTTGACTGCCAAGTTTCAAAAAAGTTACCTTAAACCTTTGGCAAATTATTCACCTACATTAGCCTTAGTTTTCTCCTCTATAAAATGGAGATGATCCATAAAAGGCGATTATGAGGATTAAATGACCTAATTTATGTCCAGCATTTAGCCCAGGGCCTGGCACATGAGTTTAATCCGTTTTAGCTCTTATCTCTTATACTTTTTTTTTTGTACCAGCGATCAAACTCAGGACTTTATGCTGCAAGGCAGGTACAGTGCCACTGAGCCAAGTCCCCGGCCCCAACTCTCACCTCTTAGAATCATCAGTACATGTGCTGAACACTGCCGGGCACTGGGAATCAGTGGTGCTTCCTGTGTTTCTGAGCTCAGGAGAGCGGCAGCTGTTCAAGTGGGCACATCGCAAGAAAAGCAGGACTTTGTGATCAGTACTGTGTGTCTTTATGGGTTGAGAGATCTGTGCAGAGTACATTTGGATTTTAGTTAATCTTGTGTGATCCTGAGGCATTAGAAACATTTTAGTGTCTTGTAAATTAAAAATATACATATGACTTCTTGGGTAGAGGGATGTCCCTACTTCTATATACATTTTAGTTTTTGAGAACTATATGAGCCATTGCAAAGATACAGGTTGAAGTTTCAACATGGATGGCATTTCCACGAGCAAACCTGTATTATTATTTTTTTCAGGGTTTGCACTTGGCATCATTTTTCTAAATTTTCAGGCTTGTGGAATGAGCATAGTGAGCTCAGTTTTAAAACATTTTTATTGATTTAGACACCCCATATGAGAAAGGAAAACACTTTTAAAAATTGACTTCTTCACAGCAGGATTGAGGGTGGAAGGGGGAGGTTTTGGTTTTATGGCACTGAAGGGTATCCTATCTCTTGCACACCTGCTCTTGGCCTAGGAAAGACCACCTGAGCTTTGCTGTGCCCTAAGCTGGTACCGTCTGGGTGGTATATGGCTGCAGTGCAGTGGAAAGACAGGTGTGACACATATGGGACATGATTGTGTATTTCCTAGTTCTAGAAAGCGAACAGCTTGTGTGTGACACATAAACACAGGGTGATGGAAGACTTCTCATGGAGGGCAATGTGATCCTTGACCCCTTTGGGTAAGACAAGCGATGTTCTTCAAACACATCACCTGCAATGATCTGTTATGAGTGATTGTTGGATAATCTGTTTTTGAACTTTGAGTTACAGAGCGAAGAGAATGGGTTTAACAGATGTGAAAGTCTGAAATACACCTGAAAAAGACTGAGGGATCATGTTATTTTGACATTATAAAGGAGAAAAGGTATATTTTATAAGTTGAAGTGAAACTCTGGTTGTAGGTAAACAGATTGTGTGGTTGACAATTCAGTATGGTCCTTGCAAAAAAAAAAAAAGACCGATTTCTTGGACAAAGTAACAAAAGTGATCATATTATTGGATTTTTCATCTTGTAACACCATTTTGGTGGACTGAGTGAAAAGGTTGAATCTGTTAAAAGACTGTTAACTCTGGTGAATTAATGGGGACCCACTTAAGCATCCCCTTTCATTTTCCACTTTTTCCCTGAATATGGCTTCCACATATTTTAGAAAAACAGTATCTACTACATCCATCTTATATCAGTCATAATAAACTTGACAATTAATAGGTGCTTTACCAGCTAACAATTCCAGGAGTATTTTTTAGCTTTGTCTCATTTCATTCTTGCCATGGCATGTAGCTGGTCTTTTCTTTTTTTATGTCCTGGGGAACAAGCCATTTCTAATTTTTTAGTCTAGCTCGGCATGTCAGGGAACTTGAAATGTCCTAGGACTTGCCAGAGTCGTGCATTTTTTTCTAGTTGGATCTTAGGCCTTCCTCTAGGGGCAGGCATTGTAGCCAAGAGAGGACTGGCTCTTTGGCCTCTTGATTCTCATGATAATCTCCAGTGCACCTCAAGTTAGGAGCAGTGGTTTCCTGATACCCTTTCTGACAAAGGATTTTCCTTTAGACATACACCTTCATATCCGGTTTAGTTTTATATTTTAGCTGACATAAATTCTCATGGCTGCGAAAGTATCATCCTGCTACTAATTTTCTTTTTTTAAAAACCTTTGCCTTTTATGCCTAAAACTTCAGATTTCTTAGTAGCAATGTAATTTAGTAATCCCAAGATCCCCACACTCTTCCATCTATGTACTTTGGTTTTGAATGGCTGTTATCTTTCAGGTCTGTGTATGATTTGACCTTTGTTAGGATATCTGCTTTGTTTTTGTGTTAATTTTTGATTTTGTGAAATAGCTGGAAATCAAGACTTTGAATCGCTGACTTTATTTTCTTCAGTTACTTTTGTTATAGGTATGAAACTGGATGCTCTTTAACCTGGGAGGTTGATTGATGTGTAAAAGCAAAGAAGTGTGCTCTTAGGCAACTGTCTGCTAGGAAATGGTTTTTCTAGTTTAGACCTCCCTTAATTGCTGATAAATACATTATGTTTTAAACAGAGAAAAGTTAACTTTCTTAGTAACTGTCCCTTATCATGTATTAAGTTTTTAGAGTTAGTTTAGCACACTTCTTGGTTGGGAATCCAAGATGTGAGGTTGGACTTAGTATTTTTTATCACTGAAGTGCTTAGAAAGTTAGAGTAAATAATGAACCAGTATTTCAGTACCAGATTAGACACAATTTGCTGTGATGTTTCGTAAACCACAGACTCCTCTTCTGTAAATGCGTGGAGGATCACTTTTTTTCCAGACATACCAGGGTGCAAGTGTAAATTTCCATAAAATTTAAATGAGGTGCTTCCTGTAATTAATGAACAATTGTGGCTGCTCTCTGGTCTGCATTGTAATTAACCGTGATCAGGCTTGTTTAGTGATGACACTGTTCCTGTAATAATTTGACAAGCTACTGTGAATTTGCCAGGTTATTAAACAACCTGCAGCATTCACTTGCAGAATCACGGGACACGCTCAGAGGCCGCTGCTGCTGGTTAAATGCAGCATGAGGGTGAACCAGAAGCCGCCCCAGAAGTCTATCCATCACCAGGAGCAGATTTAAATTCCTATAATTTTGGAGAACTTAATTAATTTTGCATGGGGAGTCTTGAAAACTTTTATTACATGATAAACCTATTGGGGCAAAGCTGATCACTTTTATGAACTCATAATGAAGCCAGCAAATTCTTTGTATTGTTAATACCAGTATGTACAAAACAAATCTGAGGTTTCCCTTGCCACCTTTTTAAATAGGTATAATTATTTATTTATTTTTTTATAAAAGCTGTTTGTTCCCCCACGTACACCCACAACATTCCCAAGTAGCTGTTCATTCTCTCCTTCTGTCTCTGTGTCTGCCTGCCTGCCCGTCTGTCTGTCTCTCTCTCTTTTCTGTTAGAAACAAGTGGCCTTGTGCTGAGCGGAGTCGTGTTGCAGGTAGAGTGACCGCAGTGGACTGGTAGCCTTACGTCCTTGGTCACTCATGCTCCAGCCCACCAAGCCCCTTTTAGGTTAAGAACATTCAAAACGTTACTGTCTAGTTACTGTGGTGTCTTTCATTGGTGTGTTTATTGACTAAACCACAAGGATTGCTGCCCAAAGTACCAGGCGGTCTATGCTTGACTGATTTTGATTTTCTAACATCAGCCCTGGGGTTTATTTGAAAAATGTACATACACTGCAGCTTTAACAAGTCAAGTGACTGCATGTTTCTGACCATAGGGTGAGTGTATCTGATAATCATTAAATTGGGGGGTGGAGAATAAGTGTAGTAGTCACTGTACCATTGCAGAGTGAGTGTGTGTGTGTGACACATGGTCTTTGTCTTTTCATCTTCTCCAAGAGCCAGAAAGTTTCCTGCCGTTCTCTTTCCAGCTATTGACAAATGATTGCCAGATGTGAGACTTTGCAGTGCTCTTTCCCTCAGCAAACCTGCAGCGAAGGGATATTTGATTCTCCCTTGCCCATTTCATCTCCTTTCCACATCTGCCAGGGACACAGAAGCAATACGTCCCTACATGAGAGTTTAAAGTTTGTTCAGCTCCCTTTCCCCTTCTGATACAGAATTTGGAGACAATAGAATGAGGGCCATATGATGCCCTCCCAGCCTCACTGTATCAAATTAGTTGTTTAGTTGTTTATTTTACTTATCTACCTCTCAGTAATTCAACTATTTCATTTTAGTTTCACTCCATGAAAAATCTAATGTAACTCTGGTAGTGCTAAGAGTTCTCTTTTGTCAGCTTGCTGTGAGTATGCCACTACCACCTTTAATTCTGATAAAACTGAGACTGTCAAATACATAGGACTTCCTAATAAAGTAATTGTGATGTACAGCTGTCAAAATATTAGGTGTGAAAAAATATCAAATGTGGAGTGTTTGATAGAATTTAAGTAGTCATTTAGGAATTAAAAAGCCATCTATGTGAGGGAAAATTCAACTTGCTTGGCCTGATTACCTTGTGTTTGTGTGCATTGTTACAGTCGACTCATATGAGCTGTAGTTTTAATCACAAGTAGATTATAAAGAGAAAGTACAGTGAGTTTTGGAGGCATGTTAAATTAGCCCATGTAGGCTACACACAATTACTAACAAGCACAGAAGCCTTTTGCATCTGCTTAGAATCTGTGCTGATACTGATTTTTTCACCCTTATCTCAGTTTGAAAATATTTTCCAAATGCCCTTATAGCTCATGTTGTGTTATAGGGTGGGCTGAC